AGCCCGCCTGGTTGACACCCAAGGTGTTCCACCACMCGGGCCTGTCCTCCCCCTGCAGAGCCGCTGTGCTGCTGAGGCCAGGGCAGGGCCATCAGGGCACGGGCTGCCAGGCGGCCATGCTTCTCCAGGAGGTGGAGCAGGGCTGCTGTGGCGAGCTCTGGCCTCCCCGTGCCTGATGTCCCTGCTTGGGCCTGGCTGCCCTGGCGAGACGCCTCCCCCCAGGAGAGGGTGCGGATGGTCCCCTAGACTCGCGGCATTGTGGACTGAGGGTCTGGCAGGCCTTCCTCCTCTAGGAGACGAGCCTAGACACCCTGCCCTTCCCACAGTGCTCCTGTGAAGGTGCCCTCCTGTCTCCACCCGTGTCTGCTCTGGCTCTCAGGCTGACCACCACTGTCCAGCGGCTCCTCCTGAGGGTCTCCCCAGAAGTGCCTACCGCCTGCGGTCTTGGTGCCACAGTCTCCTGAGCCTTTTTTGCTTGATTTTTTTTTCTCTTTTCAGTTTATTTCATGGATGAGTTATGCTAGTCCAAGTCAAAAGTGGTTACGTTATACAAGCCGTGAGGCTTTTAAACTTGTGACAAGGGACAAAAGGGAAATTCTACTTATTGCAAGGAAATCCTCACTTAAGCTTCAGTGAGCCACAAGCACTTAAAACCCATGAACCTTCAGCTGATCGTCCCCAGCCAGTGCCGTCTCTACCAGCAGCTGAATTACTCTTTGCATGGAGAGAGTTGAGGGTTTTGAACAGCATGAGGAGGTGACCAGGGACTTGGAGCCTGAGGAGGACAAAGAGCAGTTCTTGTCAGCTGAGCCCTTGGCTGGCATCCACTTCTACTAAGCTCTGGACAGCGCACTCTCTTATTTGATTACCCGTGTGGAAGGCAGTGGCTGGGAGGTAGTGCTGCTGTTAACTGCACTGCTGCAGGAAGGATGGCTGAGAGGTTGGACAGCTGGGAGGGCGGGCAGTGCTGGGATCGCGGGAGTCAAACAGGCCCGAGCGCTCTGCTGTGTTGTACAATAGGACTCGTGTGCCAGGAACGGCAATAGACTGTGTTTTGATGGCTCAGGGCAGCCTGGATGTCTTGGTGTTCTTGGCTGCTACCTGGAGTTGTGCACATTTAATGTGGTGCTGGGGCTTGAACTGGGTCACTCTGCAGTCCCCTGCCTCAGCCTCCTGGATAGGTGGCCTTGCTGCTTTGACCATCAGGCATGAACGTGCGGAAGATTCTTGCGGAGCCTGTTGGCGTTCGCAAGCTGGAGCTGCTACAGGCAGAAGCATCCCTGGTGATCCCAGTGTCTTCTCTCATGGCTTAAACTTAGAGCCTTGGCCAATAGGCCTATAGCTCCTGGTCCTCTGGCCTCTCAGGACAGATGACTGACATGGGAGTGTGGCTCTGACGCGTGTGAATGAAACTGTCACCACCATCCGAGAGTAGCAGAAAACCACCTTTACCTGACACTTGATGAGAAGGACAGGGAACAAAAAAATCAGAACGGCGTCCTCAACAGTCGGAGTTATTTAATTAGGCAGGTGACATCAGGGTTGATGAATCATTAACACGTCGAAAGAGCAATTAGCTCTTTGTTTCCCAATGTTATCAGTCAGGCAGAAAGCRGTTCTTAAGGCGGCTGTTCCTTAATAGAATTGGCAGAGGATAATCCCTGTTGTGGTGCTTTCAAACAAGGTCTGTACAGTTAGGCTGGTTGTCGGTACTCGTGGCCTTGATTTTTGATGAGTGTTTGGACGCAGGTGAGTAGATCTTGTGTGGCACATGGCAGGTGGGAACAGGGGTGGGTGCATTTGCAGTCCCCAGGCTCCTCTCTTTCCCGGGATCCTGTGCACGGTCTCAGGTGTCCTGCTCTTGTCCCGGCATCTTCCGCTCTTCCTTCCTGCATTGGTGCTTGTGAAAGCCTTGAAGTCCACGCCACTCCTCCCCAGGCGGCGGGCCCCCTGTTGATCTGACCGCTCTCAGGAGGGTTAGTCAGGCTCCACAAGGCGGTGAGCAAGCGGACGGGGAAAACCCGAGGCAACGGAAGAGACGTGATGGAAGCAGGCCGAGTGTATGAGTGGTCAGGGAAGACCCTCGAAGAGGACATGGAGTGGCTGCTCAGTGAGAGAGAAAGCAAGCCACACAGGCCCAGTACTGGGCAGAGACAGGTGTGGCATTTGCATAGCTGAAAGGATGGGCCCAGGGTCAGAGCACAGGGTGCAGAGGTGGGGAGTGTGGGGAGGAGAGGCAGCAGGTGCCAGCTTGCATGGGCTGGTGGGCGTGGGCGCTCCAGAGAGCAACCTGCAAGGCTGCTCCTTGCTTGCTGCAAAGAAAGCACGGGGGCCAGGCAGCAAGAGCCGTGTTGGCTATGGGAGCCTGGAGCCTGGGGCCGCGGGAATCCAGCGGTCCAAGGGGTGGTGTGTGGTAGAGTTGCCAAGGGTCTGAGGGCTTAGCAGTGGGCACTAGGGATTTTGAAGTTGGACAAAAGGGTCTTGGTGGCACCATCTTCTGAGAGAGGGAGATCTGGGGGCCTTCTGTGGATAAAGCTGGCAATTTTGCTTGGGCCAAAATAAGACTCAGATGCCTATGTGAGCTATGTGAGCTCTCGCCAGGCTTCCCTCCACGTGCGTGCACACGTGTGTGCCTGTGTGGGCTCATGTTAGTTGCATGGAGTTCTTAGCACTGTGTGATGGGGGTTGCCTTTGCTTTGTGGAAACCATCTAATTCTCATGAGCACTTTATAAGGTCATCCTTGTTCTAAAAGCAAACACTGCTGTCCAGAGAGGAGCACTAGCTCTCCTGGAAACAGGGCTGGGTTTTGACCTAGTCTTCCAGTTCCAGAGCCTGCCAGGCTGTGCCAGGCCTGGCTCTGCCCCTCGAGGGCTGCAGGTCAGGGTTGCTCTGTCTAATGGTATCTCAGGCTGCAGCCAGGTGCCAGATCAGACTTCCCAGCAGTGGCTCTGTCCTCTTGGATCTCCTCACCCTTCTCCCAGGACCCGTAAGACATGCCCAGAGCACCCTCCTTCTGGAACATGATTCTCAGGAGGCGTGGGGCAGGTGTGGGTTCTTTCTTGCCCCTGGCAGTGTGTGTGGAACCCAGAGCACCTGGGCTGGGGCTTTTGTGGGTGACTTCTCAACCTACAGTGTTCAGGCGAGCTTCCCAAATGAGTGGACCGTGTGCCCATCTTGCAGGTAAGTTGAGGATGGTCTGACCAGTGAGGGGACAGGCCCTGGGAGGCTTTGAGGGAATGCTCAGGTGGTGTCTAACTCTGGCAGGCCTCAAAGTGGGGATCTGGGAGGTGGCAGGCTCAGTGGAGACCAGGGCAGCAGGCGGGTGGCAAAGTCAAGCTGAGGAGTGTGCAGAGAGGTTTTGGCACACTCAGCTGCAGGGCAGACTACCAGGTGCAGAGCAACTGGTGTGCTGTCCGGTGTTCTAGGTGAGGTCTGGGTTGGGAGCCTGCAAGGGGAGGGGCTCAGCAGTATGAGGTGTGGGTGGAGTCCATCTGATCTCTGTGGAGAGAGGTGGCTGGGCATGGGGGGCATCTCTGCAGAGTGTGTGTGCAGGAGTAAAGCGTGTGGTGTGAGGGTCACTGGGCTTGGTCCTACTCGTGCTGCAAGGGAGGGCTGTTGCCATGTCACTTTAGCGATGGCAGTGAGCTTGGTAGGTGGAGGAGGAGACTGGAGCCTCTGGGTGAAGGCCTCAGTGTAGCAGAGGCCAGAGTGTCTGACAGGACCCTGACAGAGCAGTGTGGAGTGGCTAGAGCAGAGGAAGGTGGCCAGGTGCATGGGATAGTGAGACAGGGTGCAGGTGGTGGGGTCTGGGCTTACTTTGTGGATGGAGGGGACAGCCATGTCCTGCTGGCCAGCGGTGCTGTTAGGGTGATGTGGCATCTCGGGAGGTGACAGTGGGACCCTGGCGGGAACCTCCCATCATCCAAGGAGGAGAGGGGAGATTTGCATCATGCGGGGGGCAGGGTAGATGGGTACATTGTCTGCAGAGACAGACAGGAGGGACCTGGGCAATTGGAGGTGACAGTGGGACCCTGGCGGGAACCTCCCATCATCCAAGGAGGAGAGGGGAGGATTTGCATCATGCGGGGGGCGGGGTACATGGTACATTGTCTGCAGAGACAGACAGGAGGGACCTGGGCAATTGGATCTGAAGGGCGGCATGGGAGGGAGAAGGGCCCTGCACCGTTCCACCTGGCAGGCTGGAACCGCAGAGAGCCACGGGGTTAGAGGCAGGGTTGGGGGGAGGCCACAGTGAGGTGGGGGCCTTTCCAGGCAGCCCGGCCTGGTGCAGCATGGGGTGGGGGTGGTGAGTGCTGCTGTCAGGATTCCCTCTGCTTGCTTTCTGCACACTCCTGGCCACCGGGCAGGGAGAGCAGACTTTGCTCCTCTGTGCAGGACTCAGACATTCCTTCCCACTTGGGGGGTCTTGACCCATCTCTCAAGGCTGAAGCTGTGACAGGCCAGAGTTGGCTCGGCCTTGTGTTCTCAGGAGAGTCGAGAAGGGTCGTGGAATATGGGGGAGCTGTTCCTACCTGCTGGCCAGGACGTCTGGCTCAGAGCTTGTGGCCTGAGAGTAGAAGCCACCCTGACCATCCTTAGGACCCAAGGGGTTGGCCAGCAGAGCCCCAGGGGTGGCACAGAGGTCATGGCTCATGCTTGTTGGGTGAACTGCTGGGTGTGTCTGGTGTGAGCTCGCAGCCCCCTGGGGGCCCTCTGCCTGTTACCCTGGTCCTTGGCACTCTGCACTTTTATACCTGAGCTTCTCACCACGGGGGCAGGTGGCCTGCAGCCCCAACTACCCCACACTCCCTGGGATCCTGTCTGCCCCACATACAAGCACACAACCCTCTCTGAGTCCTCCAGGGTCCTTCCTGGGGTGCTCTGTCAACAAGAGATCCCATCTTTACTTAGGTTTGGGGTGGCACTGTGCATGCTGACGGTGCTTAGCCAGCGTTTGCTAATCTGAACCAACTCTAAGGCCTGCGTTTTCTTTCTCCAGATAAAGCCGGTGGTGCACTGTGACATGAACGTGCCTTCCAGGTGGCAGTCCTATCACCGCCTTTCCCGAAACATTAAGTGAGTACAGTGTCGTGGGTGAGGACTCAGCCCTTGCCGCCGTCGCTCCTTGAGGAGAAGCCTCCCACGCGGCTGACTCTCCTCTCTGCAGCAGGGACCCCCTCCCTGAGCGCCTTCTCTATGCTCCACATTCTTTCTTCTCTTGAACCCTGAATCAGGGAAGCGGCCCAGTGGCTGAGCCGGTGTCGACAGCACAGTTTTCCTGGGGATGGAGAAGCAAGGGCTCTTGAGCTTTAGGTCGTGGGTTTGTTTTTTAATCCAGCAGTTCCAGCTGTTGGGTGTGGAGAGCAAACGTTTTCAGCACCGTGAGCTCTCACTCCCAGGGCCCTTTTGGAGCCAGCTTGTCCCACCAGGTGTCCCTGAGAGGGGACATGTGAAGCTGCATGCTCGGAACACGACATACTGAGCAGGAGCCGTGAGGCCCAGTGCCCTGGGTGGGGTCGTGGCTGAACACGCTGGACTGGACTCAGGGCTCTCTCCTGATCTTCCTCTTGGCTCTGGGACCTTCTGTGCTTTGACTCTGGCTTGCTCCCTGGTTGGTAGAGCAGGACAGAGGCAGCTACCTCGAGGTGGGAGGATGGCCCGAGGTGACCTGTCCAGAACCCACCGGAGCTCATCAGGGATCAGACTTCTGTAGGTGGCCATAAGCCACCTTAAATCCCTGAGGGGGGAGTTCAGGTGGTTCTTCCCTTTTGCCATTTTTTTGCCCCCAAAGAAAAAGTCGCGTGTGTCCTGGATCAGGAGCTCAGAGTTGCGGGACACTGGCAGTGGCCGGGCTGGCCTGACTCTCACCTGGGACCAGGGCCTGGGCAGGGGGCTGGGGACCATCTGCCTGACCCACACACCGCAGCTGAGAAGCCGAGAGGAGACCTGGTCAGTCAGCCGCGCTCAGCTCCTCAGGGACCTTTGAGGTCCGGGAGCGTGTCTGGAAGTACCTTACCCTGGGCTTCTGTGACGAGCCACTTAAACACATGAGGTCTCCATGGTGCTTCAGGAGTATGAGAGCTGTTTCGAGACAATTCAAGGCCCAGGGTTTCTAAATTCCTGCTCTGCAGGATGGTAGGGTACCCAGTGACTGTGGGTCCTTCCTGATAAGACCTCGTCCCCAAGGCTGCACTCTTGCTCAGCAGCTTTTCTCCGTATGGACCCCTGCTCCTGTAGCATGTGCTCATCTCTGTATCGTGGACTCAAAGTTCCACTAGATGGAACTAAACAGCCATCGAAGTGAAGAAAAGACCTGAGCACGATTGCTTGGAGACCTCATAACTACAGACAAATGGCTTCGGAGGGAGTCTTCCCCGTTACACAGGGACAGGGCTCCGACCTGGCCGTGGTGGCCCAGGCCGCTGGACACGTGGCTTGTGGAGCCGGTGTTCTGAGGCTGCCCTGCAGTGGAGAGGCTCTGGGGTCCCTGGCCTGCTGGGTGGGAGTTAGCTGGTGACCCTGGAGGCCGAGGTCAGGGTCTGGTCCTGGTCTGGGCACTGGCTGTGTAGCCTGAGGTCCCCCCCCCCACACCAGTGTTCTCCTCCACCTCCTCTTTCACAGAAGTGACAGGAACTCTGAGACCCTCTCCTTGCTCAACTTAGATTGTCATGGGACATGAAAAGGTCAGGTAAGGGAGCCTCGGGAGGACAGGGTTGGGGACCTTTGTTTTGTTGTTCATTTGGAAATGCACTGGTGGAAGGTGACCCAGCCCTACGGGTGGCCCGGGCGTGAGTCAGGAAGGCCTGCGGCAGGCCCATGCTTCCTGAGGCCAGCAGAGCTCTGTCTCGGCCTGGAGAAGCGGCCAGAGGTTAGGTGATCCCGATGAAGCTCAGGACAGAGCGGAATGGGGAGGAGAGAGGACCACTGTGGAAAGGTTGGGTGTGTTTTAGGGCCAGGACGAGTGGTCTCTGGAATGGGGCATAAAGGAATAAGAGCAGGACTCTAGTCTGGTGGCAAGTATGAGGAGGCGGGGACAGGAAGCACCGTCCGTGTCTTGTTCTCAGGCTGGGGGAAGCCCATGTGCCGGGACAGCTCCCCTCATTCCATGGCTGTTGGCTGAAGTCTCCGGCTGGAGTGCTCCTCTCCTCTGAGTGGTCTTGGCGGCCACCCAGTGGCCATCTGAGTGGACCAGACACCTTGGCTTCCCGTGTGATTCCTTCCAAGTCCAAGCTGCTCCTTGGCCATGAGGGTCTTCTCCAGGACTCCCTAGGAGGTGCTCCCCAGCAGCTGTCCCTCTCAATGGAGGGCAGACAATCTCCCCAGGGATGTGGGGCTCCAGTGGGTCCCAGGGTGTGGCCCGAGGCTGGGAAACCACTTAGGTTCTTTGCGTTTGCTAGTTGGGGGTATTTGCCAGAGGCTCTGGCTCCACGGGTGTTTTGTGTCCGTAAGTTTTGAACAGCATAGTGAAGTGCTCTGGAAGCTCTGCCACTTGGCCATGTCCCCATTGGTGTCACGATTCTTTGTCACATACTGAAATTGTGTCTCCCAGTGTGTGTTGACATTGGGAGGGAGAGCAGTGGTCTCATGGGAGGGGTGAGGGTGCAGGAGGCTGTGTCCCAGCAAGCAGTGGGGTTTGCACAGTGAGGGGCCCCCCTGTGCAGCCGTTGGCCAGTGCCACGCTGGAGGAGCAGAGTCAGGCAGCTGTGGCTCACAGGCAAGGGGGGTGACTTAGCTGTCCGGCCCTATCGTGTCCCTGAGCTCTCCGTTCATTAGGTTTTAGATAACCTCCATGTGGTTCTTACTTCATGCAGAAACAAGGCGAAAGGCAGGGAGCACTTGGGAAGTCGAAGGGTGTGGGTGAAAGTCAAGACCCTTGAAGGTTCTGCAAAGCCTCCTGGGATGGGGCTCCAGGTTGCAGGTTCTGGAGGTGACTCCCCACCATGGACTAAAGAGGCACGTCAGAGAGAACTAGGTCTCGGCATCCTACCACGTCCCACAGACACCCCAAGCCTTTCTGTAGTCCTCTGCTTCTGGAGGGAGGAAATGGAGAACAGCAGAGGCTGGTCGGAGGTTGTCTTTCCTGGGCCCACATCTCCTGGCCCAGATGTTGGACACACAGAGTGCAGATGAGCTTCGTCTGTAGCCACCTGCGGCCCTTTTTGCTGGTTCCTGAAGAAGTATGAGGAATACGGTCCACAGCCGTCAGAACACAGATCACCCCCATACAGGATTAGAGTGGCGTTTCCTGGGAACTTTGCATCCCTTGAGTTTGACTTTGGTGTATGAGAAGTGGGTAGGGGCCTCATCAGATCCCGGGAATGCTGTCGGCTTCCCCAGGGGTGGTCAGCTCAGTGCTGGGGACTTTCACAAAGGGAGCAGAGAAGGCAGAACACGGATTCCTGGCCGTGAAGGACGGGTGTTGGGAGGGGCCTCACACAGGATGCGCTGGGGCTAGGCACCGTGGGAGGATGGGTTTGGCCAATATTACGGAACTCAGATCCTGGACTAGTGGGTGTCCCTTCCTGGACTGGAAGGACAGGTGTCAAGTTTTCTAATGACCCTCAGGATGTTTGGTGGAGCCTGAAAATCCCCCCAGTTTTAAATGCTATTGGGGAATCTTGGGGAGGTCATGAACAGAGGTCCTCTTCCTACCTTAAGGGGCTCCGTGTCCGTACCCACTCGATGTCTGTGGAGTCCGTTGCCCACAAAGGAGGGGTTTTGTCTAACCCCTGACTGAGGTCCTCAGTTGAATGAGCGCTGAGTTGAAGGGGCAGAGGGGCTCAGGAAGCTGGACAGCACTGGTTGGGCCCTGGACGAGGGCAGGGTCAGGGACCTGAGAGTGTGGCTGGGGGACCGTGCATTTTGATACCCTGCTCCTGAGAAGATCCCTTCCCGGCAGATTCATGGGGCTGGCGGAGCTGAGCAGGAAGTGTCCTGAGCTTGGGGGGCCACAGGACGTGGAGGGATTGAGAAAGAAGCGAGCATGAGGCAAGAGATCAGAGCCCACCCCTGTGACGGTGGGGACTCGGGCGTGGTCACGGAGGTGGAGTGCGTTGTCCAGGACCAAGACGAAACATGGTTTGCTGCTTCTGTTTGTGGGCGACTGCTCCTCCTGAGCTGGTGCCGTTGAGGGCCCTGGACTCGAGCTTCCTCAGGGCCACGGTGCTTTCTGACAGGAGGCCTGGCATCTCCCTCAAGGCCTGGCACGGACGGCCACATCCTTGCTCCTTGCAGCATAGGCAGGTGTCTGGGTCCGTGAGCGTGGTTTGGAGATCGTCCCGTCGTTCAGTGGCAGAGCCGCCGTCTGTGCCATGAGTTTCCTACTTGGATGGGATCGTTTTGTGCTGATAGACGTTCTTCAGATCTCAGGAAGGAAGCTCAGGGTTGGCACGAGCTATTATTTAAACCACTCCCGTTGTCTTCCACGGGGTTTCAAACCCAGTCCTAACAACTTAGCTTTTAAAAATATTGCCATTAAAAAAAACAAAAAACTTTTTGGAAAACATTTTACATTACCTTATTTTGTCTTCCTTATGACCTGATGGAGCAGATGAGGCCAGGCTTTCCTCCTCCAGGTTTGGAAATGGCAAGTTGAGACCAAAATGAGAGAAGGCCGCTGGTCTGCACCCTTGGTCACACCCAGTCCCTGCATGTCACTGCTCTGCAGCACTGCAGAGTGCCCCAGGCCCAGGAGACCAGTCCTCGGGCCCGGGCTAGTCCTCAGACGGCATTGACCGACATGGAGCTGTTAGTTCCTGGGTCGGTTCCGGAGACCTTGGTTTCTGGTGAGCTCCTCAGTCAGCTCAGCCTGTAACTCACACTGGCTCTTGCTTGGCGCAGAGTGCTCCAGGCTGAGGGGACAGGACGCGTTCCTGCTTCCTTCCTGTCACAGTGGATCCTGACGTCTGAGCTCAGTTGTGGCAGCAGAAGTAAAAACGCCCCTGGGTTTCTTCCATTCTGCTCTCACCAACGAGACTCCGAGACTCCGGAGAAGCCACCCATGGCTGACACCTTCTCCCTGGTTTTTAATAGGGAAAGGGGAACGCGAGGCGGTGGAGGAGTCCCTCAGGCTGAGGAGCCTGCACACGTGCCTTTCCACCAAGCTGCTGTGTGACTTGGACAAGCCACCTAGCTTCTCTGAACCTTTTCTTCATCTGATCACAGGGTAGCACTTGCTCTACGATTTTTTGGAAAGATCAAGGACAATTTTATAAAGTGTGCAGGTAAATGTGGAGGAAATAGCAGCTATCATCGCCAGCTCACCTGACTAGAGTCCGTTCCTCTGTCCATATGTTAGTTCCCATTTAAAATGCTTCCTGTTCCCCATCCAGAGACTACACAGCAGTGCACTGGGCATTGCACTGAGAGGAGTTTACGCCATTACCTTGACTTCAGCTGTGCTTGGCAGAGGGACCGTTTCTCTTATAGCCAGATCAACTCATGCCCCGGCAAATATATAGTTTTAAATGGTAATAAACTAAAATCTCCTCCCACTCCACGTCCGCAGGCCCCGAGTGACTTCTCCGGAGGCGAGAGCTGTCACCTCTTCCAGCACCTTCGGGTGTGTGTGCTGCCTCACTTTCACCAGGGACTGTCCTGGAGACGACCCTATCAGCGCTGAGATGATGGTGGTTAGATGTGGTAGCGTCCTGCGCCTCCCCACACTCTGGCATCTCTGGCACGGGTTTAACAGTGGTGGGATCTGATGTGTGCCCATCTGTCACCTCTCCGTTGAGGATTCCCTGGGAAAGTGCTAGGGTGCTTCAGGTGGCGCATGGGAGGAGATGGCCCTGGACAATGCTGTGGAGCCTGCGCGGCCAATGGACGTCAGCAGATGTGCTGGGTCCTTCTCCTCTTGGAACGGGCGATTTCCAAACTTAAGAATCCAGATTACATTTTTTTCTTTCTTTAGATAAAATGTTCTACATTGTTAACAGACAATTCTTTTATATGTATCTGCCTTTTTTGAAAGATGTGGAAATCTGGAGGTGAATAAAGGGTCATCAGTTTTCCCACTCCACAGAGACTCCCCAGAGCCTCAGGGCACCTTCCTGGAGCCCTCTGGAGCTGCCTCTGGGTTTCTTTCAGCTTTTAACATTGGTTACGCGGCTGACTCCCTGGTAAGGACAAATTCCTACGAACAGCTGGATGGCTGCATAACTTACGGGACCGTCATGTCCTGGTTTATTTCACCTTCTGCCGTACTGAGTCATTGAGACCTTTCTATCCTTGTTGTTATAAGTGATTGTATGAGGAATATCTCTGCACCATAAGTCATTGTCCCCATTTCTGTGGGATGAGGGTGGTGGAGCCGGTGGCTCCTGGTTTCTTGTGTTGTGTTGGTCTGTATGGCTGGAGTATCCTTCAGGGAGACCGACTGTGTCCGACTACGTGAGTGCATCTGTTTCTCAGCACTCAGGATACAATGTATATTAAATGTCTTTGAAGTTCAGGCAAAAATATAATGTGGTCTTTTGTAAATATTTATTTTATTACTATCAGTATTCTATATTTAGACTTTTATTGTAAGCCAATTAGGAAAACATTGTAGCAGATTTTTGTTGCGGTAGTAACATTAATAAATTGTGCATTCATGGACTGCATACAACATTTCTTTCTATAGTTTATTTTGGGCAGTTTTAAATATGGAAGAAGTTGCCACAAAGCTTTAGCAGAGAAAATGGATTTTCTTTGTTGTGACAACACATTAAAAATTATATATTCACTCTGAGAAAAAGACATATGTGCCTTAAGTTATTTGCATTTAAGGGAAAAATAGTAAAACCATGGTAATAGTAAATAATGATATGGAAAAATGAAAAGCCATTGTGTATTGCTGAAGGATATTAATTATTGTTGATGGATGTAGAAAAGTAAACCTTGTATTTAGCTGGTTTTAGTTCCAGCTACGACAGTCTGACACTTGTCAAGGGGTGATTGATGTGGCTTGGTGATTGACGTGGGGTGCCAATCACTTTGCGATGGGTTTTGAGAGGCCACTAGGCCTCCCCTCCAGCCCAACACAGATAATGGAGCAAACCCCTGGGTTCACAGGGAAACCGCCTCAAGACTGCGAGAGGGAGTCAGTTCCTCTTTGTCTTTCCCAAGGACTGCACATGCCTTCTGCGGGTCTCTCCTCCCGGAGGGAAGTGGCTGCGTAGTTCAGGTGCGCTGTTCTCCACATGATAGTTTTCCTCCATTTTACCCATCAGGGAGTTGAGGGCATATATTTGCTTTTTAAGGAACAGAGTTTTGTCCAGTTTTTTGGGCTCGTTAGATTATGTAAACAGGTGAAAGAACGAACAAGGCTCGTGGTCAGAGAAAATGCCCATTTATTGAGGAACAGCTCTGCATATTTATAGAGCTGGGGGTGGTTTGACAGTTATGACAGTTTAACAGTTTAATGGTTTGACAGTTGGCATGGGGTGCTTTCTGATTGGTGGGTAAGGATCATGTGAGCCAGCAGGGCTAGTCTGATTGGTGGGTAAGGATCATGTGAGCCAGCAGGGCTCACCATTGGACGGCTCTTCTGGGGGGGGGGATGGGGAAGTTAGTCATTAGAGCCGGGGCGACTCCCACATTCCCCCATCTTTGTTATTAAATGAGAGTGGGCATCGAAGTAGGGAGCCCCCACAGGAGGGTGAGAGGACTGGTATAACTTCAGGAACCAGATCAACGAAGGTTCCTTGCCACCCCAGATCCATGATGATGTCAGTCTATTCGGCATAGGTCTCGACTGGAGGTATCATCAGAAGCCAGGAGTTGGTAATCCCTGAAGAGAAGCTGGTTAAAAACTTGATTAGAAATGTTTTTTACCCACCTGAGTCTGAATGAACTTTATGATAAAGGGAAGGAACAGGCACAGGGAGTTTTTATAGCCCAAATCTAATGGGGTCTCTGGGTCTGCAAGCTGCCTTGTTGGCACAAGGGGGGTTGAGTGTTCAGCCTTGAGCAGGGGCTTGGGCGTTTGGGCTTGAAGCAAACAGGTGACATAGAACCAGACAGAGGGTTTGAGAGGCCAGGTCATCCTGCAGCTAACTTTGTTTGGCATGCCCTGCAGACCAGCCTGTCCTGCACCTAACACCCTCAGTTCCACTCTTCCTTCCTAGTCCAATCTAGCTCCCTCCCCTCTCTATTAAGGCTGCTCTTCAAACTCTCTCCTACTTGGGTGTCTCTGAAACCAGCTTGCTTCTCTCTTGGTCTTTCTCGAAATCTCCCAGCTTTCCAAACCAGCTTGCTTCTCTCACTTATCACTGTTCCCAGCTTTCCCTAGTCTTGTCTCTCTTCACACCAAGAAAGCACAGGCTTTGAAATAAAGAAGGCAGCTTTTTTTAAGGAAGAGAGTTTTGTCCAGTTTTCTGGGCTTGTTAGACTAGGTAAACAGGTATTTTCCTAGCATCTGTGTTCCGCAGCATTTCGGCGTGGAGACCTCTCCGCAGGGGCAGGTGGTGCTCTGTGGGGCGTGGGATGTCACCAGGGGCTGCTCAGTCCCCGCAGTGCTTTCTCAGTTCTGTAATGATATACATGTAAGTATGTTTCCTTTGATTTTCTTCAACTCAAATTTAAGGCCTTAATGAATGTTTTCCTCTTTATTACAGTGTTTTCACAAATGGAAGAATATTTATTCCACCCGTAAAAATTATTATACCCAAATTCAGCCTGACAGACTGGAATAGCGTGCTGGCCACGATTGGAGAAAAAGTCTTCCCCTGGGGAGGTGTTCGAAAGTAAGGAGCTGCGCCTACGAGATGGGAGGCAGTGTTGGTTTTCCTACTGAGAGCACTTCCTGCCTGGACCAGCAGGTGTGGGGTGACTCATCTTGAATCGGATTTTGGTCCTCGGAAGCAGGCAGTGTCTCCTGTCTTTGTATCATCCTCATTTTAAACCAGTTTTGTGAATTTATTCTCTAAACAAACTGCTGAGCACTGGCCATGAGCTAGTTAGGGTGCACACAGCCCAGAAGGATCAACCTTGCCCATGCCCTGGGGGTGGCCTCCCTAGGTGGCCAGGAGCTACTGCTGGGCCAGATGCTGCAGATGGGGTCAGGCAGCAGCACAGCCGGTGACTTCTGGGGGTCAGAAGGGCCAGATCTTCTCTGCCTCTCTACCTTTGTCACTCAGGTCATCTTTAACCTCTCCATGTCTTTCCCTTATCTGCAAATGGAAATGAAGCCGTGTCCATGTCCAGGAGTGGCAGCGTGTGTCAGTGCTTACAGTGGCTCAGTGCTCAGTGAGCGGTCACTGGAGGCAGTGGCTTTACGAAGAGAGGTGGAAAGCCTGAGCCACTGTGTTTCTGGGAAGGACTGCACCCTGTCACTGCATGACACTCCGGATGCTGGACACAAGGGCTACTTGTGGTGGAACACCAGGCCATGGTGGATTCTTGGGATTCCTCCTGTCTCCTCCTGTCCTGATGCTGTCCCCTGGGCTTCCTCCTGTCTCCTCCTGTCCTGATGCTGTCCCCTGGGCTTCCTCCTGTCTCCTCCTGTCCTGATGCTGTCCCCT